AATATTCACCCCAAGTGCAGAAACATTCACCAATATTCACCTCAAGTGTAGAAACATTCACCTCAAGTGCAGAAACATTCACCTCAAGTGCAGAAACATTCACCTCAAGTGCAGAAACATTCACCTCAAGTGCAGAAACATTCACCAACGGTCACCCCAAGTGCAGAAACATTCACCAACGGTCACCCCAAGTGCAGAAACATTCACCAACGGTCATTGGACACTTAGGCCATCCCTAATCTTTTCTTGCCCAAATTTGTGTGAACTTTTTTCTTATATTCTTCAATATTTTTGGAAATAAACCCTAATTTTGAAGCCAATAAACAAAATTTGGGTCAATTTTCAGTTTTTACTCAAAAAAATTGGCTATTTTTGTCCTAAACTTCTGAAAGGAAATGCAGACTATAAACGGGACTTATGTAAATTTGTGATCCAAAGAGGGAACTGACGGTGAAAAGATTAAGGTCAATCATTAGGAATAAATTGAACAGTTCTACAAGTAGCATTCTCAACGCTATAGGTAGCTCCCAACTTTAAAACCCAGACATGTAAGAAAGTTGAACTTACCGACACCATATTTTGTCCTTCATAGAGATCTACAGTTTGAAACAATTGTGATGATGGGACACCATATTCTTTGGTAGCATCCAAAAATTTGCCTATATTTTCCATCTGCAAAAAGAAAAAAAAATTCTTGACTAATAGTACAGAGGAGGTACAGCAAGTAATACATAGAATTAACCATCATGTTAAAGAAATATATAAAGATTGAAAAATCTAACATGTCAGAGATACAGGGCTATGAAACAGCATTCATTTAAAAAAAATGTTAATCAGTATGACATTTTGAATCCAATTTGAAAAAAAAATGATGCGCATCTTATAATGGACATGTATGTAGCAAGTTTGACTGAAATCCATCCATCCATAGGCAACCAACATCCATTTCTGAAATGACGCACACATGTACCCACTAATCCATTCTCACATAGAGGTCAATAGAGTAAGTGTACAGGAACTATTGATTGATTGGATAATGAGTAGTTTGTAGACTATATGATAAATTATCAGTAGCACTTTAGAACAAAGGGGCGGAGGTCTTCATGAAGGTTATGGGGCTAAGCTCACCTGTTTAAATGCCATGGTACTTTCATTGATTTTCTTGACTGACCCTGGTGCCAACACATTGATAAGGCTGTAACAAAACAAATAACACTACATTTAACACAGTGATGAATGAATGAGCATTTAGAGGAAATTAGACATGCAACACTAATTGGATTGGTAGGGATTTGGTATGATTGAATGAATAGGCATTTAGTATAAATTGAATGGGTAGGCATTTGGTATTTTAATAGAATGGGTAGGCATTTGGTATTTTAATAGAATGGGTAGGCATTTTGGTATAAATTGAACAGGTGGGCATTTTGGTATTAATTGAACAGGTAGGCATTTTGGTATAAATTGAACAGGTAGGCATTTTGGTATTAATTGAACAGGTAGGCATTTTGGTATTAATTGAACAGGTGGGCATTTTGGTATAAATTGAACAGGTGGGCATTTTGGTATAAATTGAACAGGTGGGCATTTTGGTATAAATTGAACAGGTGGGCATTTTGGTATTAATTGAACAGGTAGGCATTTTGGTATTAATTGAACAGGTAGGCATTTTGGTATAAATTGAACAGGTGGGCATTTTGGTATAAATTGAACAGGTGGGCATTTTGGTATAAATTGAACAGGTGGGCATTTTGGTATAAATTGAACAGGTAGGCATTTTGGTATTAATTGAACAGGTAGGCATTTTGGTATTAATTGAACAGGTAGGCATTTTGGTATTAATTGAACAGGTAGGCACATTTGGTGAATGATGGAAGGAAAATATGGAAGATAAAATGAAACAATATTATCATATAAACAAAACAGATACAAAGACAGCACATGCAAAGAGAGCACACTTTTTGCTGTATAGCTACTTCTCATCCCGATCCATCACACATGTATTAATTTCAAACAAAGAAACCCAAAACCATTGAAAGTACCGACAGCAGTAAAGTAAGATAACTGGTTTCCTTGGTAACATTGGGCACATTGAATTCAGAGTACTTTTGTCAGATGTTCCAGGCAAAACTGACTAGTACCCCAACTACATTCTTTCTATCATTAAAACAATCACAAAGCAAAACTGTAAGAGTGTTTTTTTGAGTTATTTGCTGCGGCTTGTTATTTGCAAGTCAATTAAAAATCAAGAAATTTTGAAAAATCATAAAAATAGGCAACATTTTTCTGAGAAAATTCAACACTTTTTAAAATTCATAATCACAAAAATGTAACAAGATTTAACTTGCAAGCTAGATTGATTATAAAACATTTTTATTTCAATATATTAAATTTAGCAAAACCATGTCAGAACTCAATTCCACCACCAAAGTTGTAAGGTGAACTGTACTACATTACACCGTACACTTATTTCAGTAAACAGTGTTCTCCCCACATAGAACAAAGCATGGCGGCACCGCCATGCTTGGCGACCCGGCCGCCACGCCTGGGCTCGGACCGCCATGCTTACAACTTCACCGCCATGCTAATAGGATGCATTGTTTACATCCATTTGACCTGCTCACACGTAGCACTGCATAAATTATCACCATCTACGCCACGGA